GTTTTGATTTAAATTATGTGTTGTGTTTTGTTGCACATAATTTTAAGAAACAAAGAAAAAAATTTAAAATTCTCTTCTCGAAATAATCAATTATGAGAAAATAAATCGGCTCAGTATACCTACAATACTCAATCATGTTCAACACTTAGGTATATGAAAAGTATGCCGTTAACGGACCGGGGTACCAAACAATAACACCAGGGAAGCAAAATGTTAGCCCCCAACTTATGTTATGTTTGGCGTTCTGAATGCGGTTCTAGCCAACGCTATAATCCATTCCGATAGTGCCCAGCCCGGTGCAGACTGGCAAGCGTTTGCAACGCGAAGAGCGGCAGAAACAACAATCCGCTTATGTACGGTCACTGGCGATGATGCGCCCGCCTTCTGTCCGCTGCGCACGCAAACAACTCTAATGGATTTTTCATGTCGATTTAACACGGGGGCAGGTGTGCTTCTGATAATCGAATGTATCAAAACAAATATTTGAAGTCCGAGTTTGAGGTTTGAACTTCAAAAAGGCTTTGATGTGAGATTTACTCCTTTTAAAGATAAGTACGCTAGTCCTTTTTTCAATCCAATTGATTATCATCGTATAATAATGAATTATTACTTCTTAGGTACTTAGGCGTTAGCAAAACTGTGGCAAATAATAATTCAATAAGCCAATTAGAAGATATACTTAATACAAACTTTTATTTTTTGTTAACCGACTTCAAAAAGACTTCATATTTCATCACTTTGCACAAGGAACGGTAAAAACAAGGACACACTATTTTAAAATTGTGTTATGATCGCAATTTTCTGTATTTTATATAAGTATTCCATAAAAAATCTGACTTAAGTAAGGGCAATAACTTTAAAATGTCAACAAATGTTGGTTCTATTTAGTTATACTTAAACTGCTATAATACAAAAAAATATTTTTAAATACCTATTTTGTCGGCATCATCCTACCTCGTAAGTCCCCAAAGTTTTGTATAATTCCGAAGTGATTTTGATGCCGTCTTTAGGTTTTGGCCATTAATAATCATTAGGTCTGAAATCGCCGGCTTATTGTGGCTGCCGGCGGCGCACATCGCAAATTATGACATTAATTTTATAATTATTATTCTGCAGGGCACAAAAGAGCGACGCACAAAAAACACGTAAGCTCCTCCCTATTGTTCAGGGGAAAACAATGAATGATTGTTCAAAACTGGTTGGGAAATGACTCGGGGAAAATTGTCGCAACCTACTTTGATGTACACCCCGGAGCGTATAAGGAAATCTGTATTTATTAAAAGTGATGTTTTGTCTTCATATTCCGAATACAACTGTTACTGTGTTATGTTGAATTGTAGAAATACATTTTTAAAAAAGGTCTTACTCTCAAAGCACTCCAGACACGTTAGCCAAACGGCCATATTTCTTATTTATCTTACGCTAACTAATAAAGTTTAAAAATAAGCACCAAACCAATTTAATAAATATTTAATATCATTGCACCAAACTATAAAATTACGTGTATCAAATTTTAATATTGGATTATGTTTTTTGGAATTGACACACTTCGTCACGTAATAAAATTATACTATCTTCGAGGTTCGTTTATCGTTTTTTGAGCCAGTGTTTTCGTTCCTCGGACTATTTGATAGTGCGTCAGATGAAAAAAAACCTCAGCAAAATTAGTTTCAAAAGACTTTCAACGGCAGGCACATTAGAAATTGTAATTTCTGTGATTATTATCATAATTGTTGCTCATCGTCATCACAATGATTGATGGTTTCGGACGACTGCAATAGTTTTGGTTGTAGTTTTGACCCTTAGGGAAGTAACTCTATAAACACGTATGAAAAGAATTCCATTTTATACCAGAGTAATGGAAAACCATAGTCACCTTAAACTGGTTTGTAAAACAATCGTTAAGGCAGATGCAGAATATGATCTCAGAGTAGAGAAAAGGTTATCTTTTACAAAATAGGGCAAGTCATTGCTATAAATTAAAAATATGAAAGGACCAAGGATTGACCTGTTTAACTCCTATCATAACCGACGAACCAGAAGATTTTTCTTCATCAATGTCGACTCTCTGAACCCTATCACTCAAATACGATACAATAATATCCAGATTAGTATGTCTACATCCATAGTATTGAAGTTTCCTGATCAATGTTTCATGAAAAATGCAATCAAAAGCCTTTGATGAGTCACAAAACACACCAAGTGCATCATGCGAGTTTTCCCAGGCATCAAAGGTTTGTTGTACAAACTCAACACCATCGTTGAGTGACCCCTTGTGAAACCAAATTTACTATGAAGCATGTTTTTACTATAAAAGAATGATTGAATTTGATCTAGCAATATTTCAAAAATCTTACTAAAGGTGGTTAGCACGGATATAGGTCTAAAGCTTTTGGGATCAGATCTGCTACCCGATTTATGCAATGGAGTTATTTTACTGTGTTTCAGTAGATCAGTAAAAACACCACTATCAACACATTATTAAAAAATGCTAGCCAGAATAGGAGCTTCTGTCTCAATTACTGGTCCAGTAACATCCACGGAAACCCAGATCCGCGGTTTTCATTTTATTTAGTTGGTTAAAATATTTTATTACTTCTTTTGAGTTAACATATTTAAATTTAAATCAACTGGAACCTTGTTTTATGTTTTCTTTTATAATTGATTCAGCAGCAATGAGGGAGGAGTCCAAAAATTTTGTTGTTGAAATTGGAAGATCAGTGAAAAAAATTTCAAATGCTGTAGCAACTTCAATATCTGATGCAACATTTCTATTTTCATTGTTTAAATTAAAACGAGAATTTCGAGTTTTAGATTTTCCAGTTTCATTGTTTATAATGTTCCATGTCATTTTGATTTTGTCATTACTATTCTTAATCTTACAACTTAAATAATTTGAATTTTTAAAGAGGAAGAATTCCGCTATACGTAATTATTGTGTAACTTTAACCATTTCCGCAGCGCACGAAACGGAAGCTTACAAATTGAATATTTTTACCCGTTATTGCAACACTTTACATCGATGATCATCTCCTACTGGTCGCAGCGTGGTGATATAGATATAGAGCCTTAAGCCTTCCTCAATAAATGCACTATCTCTAACACAAAAAGATTTTTTCAAATCGGAATACGCAACAAAATTTTTACTATCAGTTAAATAAATTTTCATGTAAGGTTTACAATTATGTAAAGAAACTCATTGTGTATAATGCAAGCCTGAGAATATAAACTATAGTCTACCTACACTGCTACTCTACACCGAAGCGAAGCGAGGGTAGGCCGCTTGTGTAAATATAAAGGATCGAAATATTAGCCTTGTAGATTGGTATCTTCATTGATTGGATACTGTGGTCAGTATTCTTAGGAATCAAAGCTTAATAGAGATTCAAGAGATTCAAAGCTGCAATGGGGCCCACATATTGATAGATTGTCAAAGAGACTTAGTTCTGCAGCATATGCTGAAAATACGTCAGTTAACGGATATAGAAACTGCCTGATTAATCTACTTTAGTTATTTTCATAGTGTAATGTCATACGGTATGCCGCCGACATTCAAACTATATTTGTGTTGCAGAAGAGGACTCCGATCAATTTATAATTTTAAAGTTAAGGAATCCTTAAGAGATAAGTTTAAAGAAATAGGCATAATGACAGTTGCATCACAATACATAATATGAAAACTTAGTATTTGTCAAACTAAAAATATTACTAAAAATGGTGAAATACATACACTTAATACTAGATCTTTGAACTTTACCTGCTACTAGGCCCCACAAAATTAATAATTTGTTTAGAGGTCTCTATGTTCGTTTTTACAATAAAGTCCCAAGCAATAATCAAGAGTTAAGCCTAACTAAATTTAAATCGATCATTAAAAATCACTTGTTGCGAAACTTACGATAAAGTGTCTGATTATATTACAGACAAAAATGCTTGTGTTTGCACTGTTTCTGCCATTCCAACCGGTATTTCTATATGATATATAATATGAATCATGTGTTGACCATACTTTAATTGAATTTAAAAGTTGTATTTAAAGTTGGTTACTTAAGGGAGGAACATTTGAATGACAAAACGGTGTGGTCGTGATTTCTCCTTTGCTTTTGCTTTTGTAATTGTTTGCAGTGTCAGACAGAGAAATTACCTTAATTCTAAGTAAATATTTTGTAGTTAGTATAGGTGGTTATGGGTAGTCATGATCTCTTAAAAGTTTCTTCGGCGGTGTCATGTGAGGCAGGTCGTTACGTTCCCTAAAATATGGTTAAACGAAGCGATAGCTGGTTCATGCTTCATGATCGTGAACGGGTGCTGCCAGCAGTGACGACTCTGCCCTAACTACTTTGATATTGGAGATGTTAATTTCTAGTTACACTTAATATAAATAACATTATTTGTATTTATACTGCATGACACAGCAAAATGCAGGTGAACAATTAATGTATATTTCACATTATGTATAATGAAAGGTGACTTCATGAATCATCTCTGAAGTCATTTTTCAACTTCACGTTTATGTAAATAATAAAACAGGGAGAAAACACAGCCCTTGCTGAGTTTCTTGCCGGTTCTTCTCAGTACAAGGTCTCCCGCCGTAGATTTACGAACCGATGGCGTAGCTTCTAAACATACATGAGTCCTTGTAACAGTCTGAACTGAATAATTGATAAAAAACTGTGATTAGTATGGTACTCTGGTGCTCTATCCTGAAGGGATAGGCCTAGGAGCGTAGCTTTGCTACGGTTACAAATGATAATCGCCAAAAATTCACTTATTTCTATCTTTCAAATTGGGAGAGAATTACATGAAATATGTACTATCAACAATTCGCGTTTGTGCCTGAATTCTATCTGCTGGAATCTTCGATAAGAGACAAAAGATTCCCAATCTTTAAAATAATGCCGTTTACTTTTTAATATAACTGCCAGCCAGCATTACATGAACCAAGAGTTTACACAAGCAAAGTGGCCGTAAAAAATGAAAAAAAAATTCAAACCTGCCATTCTGTAAAAAATAATTGACATTATTAAGGTCTGTTAACATAAACTGTTTAATTGATTTTTAAAGTTGATTTTGTTCAAAATAATATCTACTCTGAACATGCTAAAGGTGGCAAACGATCGACATCTACCTGCTTATTCATTCAAGTTCCAAAGTTTCTGAGTCATGATTACAGCTTGTAGTTGCAATGAGAGATCGCGCTGCTAATGTGCTAATTGTAACCTAGGTAAACGGTGCTCACTATGTTATTTGGCTGATGCTGAAGGACGCAATACTGATATATAGAGGATTAGAATGTCGAGAGACCACTGGCGTGTGGCAGGCGGAACGCCATGAACTGCAGTGTTATTGCGATAATATTCGCATTTTTATCCCTTACCTCAGCAGAACTGGTAAGTTTAAAAGGCAAATCTATGAAAAGTTCATAATAAATTGCTTAATTAACTTCTAAACTGTTTGGTCGTTGGTAATTGAATTAGAGTTCGTTATCATAACGTCCGTCAGGAGGCATTTAAAAGTCATCATAAGTCAAAAACTTAGCTCGTGTTCATTAATTATTGAAAAGGTTGTTCATAAAATGAAGTGTCTATGTACGCGATAAGTACGTACATACTTCATTTATGATTTCATTTCAAGTTATTCATTGATGATTCCGCAAGCGTTTAGAGTCGATGCTTCACCGCCGCCGTGCCGTTGTCAGTTTTTTCCGTCATGTTAGTTTATGAAGTGCCCGGCGAGGTGAGGGTTGATGGATGAGTGCGGTGGCAGACAGGAGACACCATTGCTCAACGTCGCCGACTGCGAATACGTAATGCAGCCAGTCAGCCGCGGCTCCAACAACACACGACACCCGTCGGCGTCGTGTTCACACACCACGAAGGAATCCAACTCTAAAGTAGATTTTAGAGGATGTGACTTATTCATACTTCTATACTATTAATATTATAAAGCGGAAGAGTTTGTTTGGTTGAATGCACCAATCTCAGGAACTACCGGACCGATTTGAAAAAAAAAGTGCAAAAGGAGCGGAGGATCGATGAGAAATGATGCCAAAACGGGGGAAAAATATTACATTGAGAGCGTCTGTTGCGTGCGCTGCGTAAATCGTTAAAGTTACACAAAAATCTTGTTTGACTGATGTTCTATTTAAAAGTTCTATAAAAAACTCCGCTAAAACATAAGTCCATCTTTTAAGTTTGACTCCGCAAGGAACCTCTAGTTGCGCATAAAATACTATCTGCACAAGATCAGCTATACTACTTCTACCTCCTTATTAATAAACAAGGAATAAGCTTAGAATAACACCGTGTTTTGTTCATGTCACTCATATGCCATTTGTCATTCAATAAACAGAGACAAAACATGGAGTAACAAATCCAAGCGTAGTCTTCGTTCAGTAATAAGGGGGCTAAAGTTTTATTTTCATCTCACTATTTTGTGTAGAGCGTGTGTATATATATATTTTTGTTCGTAAATTAAAATCTAAATAACTTATATTTAAGATTCATTTTGAGCCAGTATTTATTTGGAAGAGGTACATTTAGTTTGTTAACAATGGAGACGTATCCATACATAACTCGTAAATTAATATTTAACGTTATGATACAAGTTGATGCGCATCGGGCAAGTCCCGTAGGAATCACGACTTAATATTTTCTTTGAGAATGTTATCTTATTTTTAATATTGAAGCGGTTTATTCCCCCAACGGTGTTCACAAAGGTAACGCATGAAGATCAACAGAAAGCGACTGAATAGTAATAAGAGAACCCACCTACATTTGAATAGTTGAGAAAATATAAAAACAAACTGCTTATAGGCAGCGTATGCCTATTTTTCTTTAGTTTTATGATTTTTTATGTAAACAAAGACTATAGTAGTCATGCGCGATTCCCAAGTCTCAGGAAACAGAGGTTTCATTCTACTTATAGATGTTCAACGATCGATGCACATTTTTGGAAACAAAATATAAACAGAAAATCACGATATTATTATTTTTGATCTTATGTGCCCCTTTAATATCTCCTAATAAGTATTATCATTTTAAAAAGATAACAGAAGCTCTTAGATAAATACATAGAGACAAAAATGGTAGGTATGAAAACAAAAGCGAACAGAAAAAAATGGTTATATTTTCCTCTGTGAATGTAAGATGAGTTGCACTCAATGCTCGCACTAAAATCTTGTTCCAGGAACTGAGTGATGAAATCAAAGAAATAATACAGCATGTTCACAACGAGTGTGTCGCTAAGACCGGGGTGGCTGAGGGTGAGTGAGTAGTGAGCGAATTCACCTTTCCCTTTGTTTTCGACTTGTTGCCCTACGAAGGACGTGGAGCAATCGTCGAGGATGATCCAACATACACAGAACTAACTTTCACGTAGAAGCGACATAGAGGTATAAGAATAGAGTAGGGGAGTGTACTCTACTACAAGTGGAAGTGTCCGTCTAGTAGAAAGAGAAAAAAGATGAGAGAAGGCTAGCTATCTCTCTCTCTTGTGGCTCTGCGCAGTCGTGTGATTGGTTGGTATTGCTGCGCAGTCGTGTGATTGGTCGGTATTTATCCGTAGGTTTTTCATCCAAAGCGCATTCGCAATTAGAAAGAGAAAGGCTAGCCGTCTCTCATCTTCTTTCTCTTTCTACTAGACGGACACTCTTAGAGCCGCCTTCCCTACTCTATTCTTATACCTCTATGAGAAGCGACCAAATTATTAATTTCCCCTAACGAACTATTCCCGCCAAAAGAAAGCTAAAAAATTAAGTTAATGATAGTACTTTTTTTAGCATTTTTGTAATATTAAGTTAACATTAATTTTAAAATAGTTCACACTTAGGTCGCGTTGTTTTACTGATAGTAAAATTTCACTTTTAGTTAATGTCACGTCAAATAAATAGTCAATGTGTACAATTTTGACAAATAGTTATTTTTTCTCTAGTTTTTTAAATATAGTCAAATTTAACTATCGATCAAAGAACGCGGTCATAATTACGAATGGTTAATTTTAATTGTGTTCAAGTATGAAAAGACCGTACAGGGAAAATTATACATTTTCCTTTCATTCCAGCATTTGAGATCTTTTTATTAGAATAAAAAAAGAACAACTCGTCTGCGATATCAGACGGGATTTAGTAACATGCTTTTCACAAGAAAATTGAACATTATCTAGCTAGGCAAATCCTAAGAATTAAAATTACACGGACCTCGTGCCTAAGACAATAAGTGGTCATCTTTCATTAGATCGCACACTAAAGTTAACTTTGAAGTTTAAAACTACGCAATAGATTATTATTGAGATCACCATATTTCAAAGTTTTTTAACCCGTACAATATATCGAATAAAATGAATACAAATGAGACTTACGACAGGTAATTTTAGATCAACGTTAATTTTTAAAATTTAAAATCAATGTTAGCTTTATGCGAAATAAAAATAGGCTACTAGCCTAGGACCCAAGATCTGATTATCCATTTTATTATCTGTGAGTCAAATTTTTAGTTATTAAACTAATTGAAGATCTTTTAATGAAACAGTTGGTTTAAAAAAAAACATTTCTATGAGATTATACTCGTATGTGACCATCTTATACTTACTAAAGCCACTACGTAAAGTATCACTTCTAAACCTTTGCACTCGCTGTATTCTAACAATGTTTGTATGAGCATTAAGAGTCTTTATTCTTACTTGCCCCCAGAGGACATAAAGAATTGCGAAAACGGCATATTTAAGGAGGACGAGAAATTGAAGTGCTATATGTTTTGCCTGATGGAGGAAGCGAACCTCGTGAGTTTTGTCCTTTGTTTGTCTCCCTCTCCGCCGCGCCCGCCTGCGAAATTAGAAACAAACAAGAGTTTAATTTATTTTTAACTCGATTCGTTTCTTTCGCATTCAAAGATGATACAGATGAACGAATATGGCAAAGTGTTCGCATTTTTGCCACCGCGGAAAATATAATCTTACAATTGCTACAAGCATGTTTGTATTTTTTAATATTAATAATAGGTACATCTTTTTATAAATTCGAAGACGTTCTTGTTTCGCTTCCAGTTAGCATTGTTTTATATAAGTCCAAGCCAATTTGACCACTCCACTTGATGTTAAGTGTTATTGGTGTCCACGAGTATGGCTGATGCGGCAGAAAAAATAACATCCCAGCCATCGGCACCTTGCCGACGTAAGTTCGAGTTTTCCAAAACATGTATTAATGGAACCTTATTCACCGACAGAAACACAGCACTATCAAAAGGTAGTCGTTTTTACTGTGCTCTTCAGTAAGGTGGCAGATTCGTTGTGCGCTACTAAACTTGTTTTAAATGAATGATATATATGGTATGGTTAATAATATTATTCATTCGATTCATTCATACAACCGCCGCACATAGGATATTTGTTTATTTTACTCTAGCTTAATTGCGATGTTTTAGGGTTCCGTACCTCGAAAGGAAAAACGGAACCCTTGTAGGATCACTTTGTTGTCCGTCCGTCCGTCTGTCAAGACCCTTTTTCTCAGGAACGCGTGGAGGTATCAAGCTGAAATTTATATCAAATACTGTATTTTTTTACTGTCCTTTGGAGTTGTGAAAAAATCAAACTTCTAAGCCAACGCAATCAAAAAATACAGCCGTTTGTGCCGCAAATTGGCACAAATTTTCGAAACTCGCAAAGGAATCAAAATCTTCAGGGTACTTCCCGTGAACTGAGAATCTTGAAATTTGGTACCAAGCAAAGTCTTATTATAACACAGATAAATGAAAAATTGCGAAAACTGTACATTTTTAGTTACATCACATATTTAACGGAACCCTCGGTGCGTGAGTCCAACTCGCACTTGGGTTTTTTTGTAGAGGAACTCCCTTTTAATTTGAGTAACGTTAACCCGTTGAAACCCTTAGAAATCACGGTTGCGTAATCATATATAATATCATCAGCCTATTAATTTACCCACTGCTGGGGCACAGTCTACTCACTGGATGGAATACCATGATGACCGACCACTGCGAAAGTTACTTAACTTCAACGATCGTAGCATCGAGCTCCAGCTCGGTTGCGTAATATAATATTAGTAACAGAGTATACACATATCATCATCATCATCATCAGCCTCTTAATGTCCCCACTGCTGGGGCACAGGCCTTCCCTATGGATGGAATAGGGAGATTGGGCCATGACCCACCACGCGGGCCCAGTGCGGATTGGCGGGTGCTAACGACTGCAGATGGAACCGGGACCAACGGCTTAACGTGCCTTCCGAAGCACGGAGGAACTCGAGATAGAAAATTGTGGTCACCCATCCAATGACCGACCACTGCGAAAGTTGCTTAACTACAACGATCGCAGCCGAACGCGCTAACCACCTGCGCCATCGAGCTCCTCATACACATATAAGTTTTTAAATATTCAGTAGTACCTAACTCCTAATTCCGTATTCTTCAGGCTGACGATGATGGAGTTGTGGATTACGAAATGATGGTCAGCATAATTCCGGAACAGTACACGGACAGAGTCACTAAAATGATATTTGCGTGTCGACACTTGGGTGAGCAATATTATGTGACATCCTCTATTATAGTTAATTTATGTATTGAATAATTACTTAATTGTCGTTTTTATGAGCATTCGTGATAATAATTTACTAAATGTCATGTATTTCGTAAGTAATTGTAATCCTTAATCTATTAATAAATAATAATAGATTAATATTAATTAACCTATTAAGGATTACAATTACGAATACGCACACGCAAATACGTTTATTATATCTACATAATAAAAAAAATATTTAAATTTAATCAGATTTATGCGGTTTATTATATACTAGCGGCCCGCCCTCGCTTCGCTTCGGTGTAGAGCTGAAGTGTAGACTACAGTTTTGTTCTCAGGCTTGTATTATAGACAATGACATTCATCTATGATTCTTCTTATACCTGCATGTAAAGTCTCAGCCCGATCGGTTTAAAATTGACAAAGTTTCATACAAACTTTTATTCCCTATTTTATCCCTTTGGGGGTAGAATTGATCAAAATCCTTTCTTAGCGGATGCCTACGTCATAACATCTACATGCATGCCAAATTTCAGCCCGATCCGTCCAGTGGTTTGGGCTGTGCGTTGATAGATCACTATGTCAGTCAGTCGCCTTTGAGTTTTATATATATAGATAGATACAGGAAAAAAAACAAAAGCCAAGTACGATTCGGTAGCGGTGATTTTACAATTACACTTCTGGACACATCTATTGGCCCACGTTAGAGTTTAATGATTGCTAGATTGAACAAAAACTGTTGATGCAGTTTTAAACCTGATACATTTTACCATCTTTTTCGATCGTATTGTTTTAAATTTGAATTCAGAATACCATACGACATGGAGCTACGCCTAACAAGTCGGATATGCGCCTTGTTAAAGGCAATTGATTTTTGAATAAAAAACATGTTTTATCAAATAAAGCTTTAATTTAATAACGCGTGTTCCCTCCATAGGCATCTACCACAGCTCTCATACGATTAGGCATAGAGTTTATCAACCGCTCTATGAAATTTTGAGGTATCATCTCCCATCCCTCTTCTATGGCAGTTTTCAACTCCTGCATCGTCTGGGCAACTGGCTGACGAGCCCTAACACGTCTTTTTAGCTCGTCCCACATGTGCTCAATGGGGTTCATGTCTGGGCTTCTGGCTGGCCAGTCCATAACTGTGATGTTCACATCCCGAAGATATTCCCTGACGATGCCGGCCGCATGGGCTCTTGCATTATCATGCATAAAAAGGCAATTTGGGCCCACATAGTCCGCGTATGGTATCACGTGAGGTTCTAAGCACTCACGAATGTACCTTTCAGCATTTAATATTGGCAGCCGTGGTCCTGTAACAACCTCAAGTTGAGTTTTGCCGCTCGCGGATATACCGCCCCAGACAGTCCATGAACCACCGCCATAAGCAACCCTCTCTTCAAAGCAGCATTGTGCGAAACGCTCTCCCTTACGTCGGTAGACCTTCTTCCTTCCATCATTGCCATGTAACACAATTTTAGACTCACCAGAAAAGAGTACACGGCTCCAATCTTGATGTGTCCAATTTAAATGACTGCGTGCGAAATGAAGGCGCGCTGTTCGGTGGGCTCGCGTTAGTTTGGGCCCATTAGCTGGCTTGTGTGGTACCATATCGCGTTCTTTTAACCTTCTCCGAACAGTTCGAGCGCTCACAGATACTCCGTGGAAGTCGCGAATTTGTTTTTGTATCTCAATGGAGGTAAGGTGACGATTTCTCAAGCTGGTCGTTACGATGAATCTATCCTGCCTTTTAGTTGTGACCCGAGATCGTGGCCTTCCTTGGCGACGAACAAAGCCGCCAGTCTCTAGGTACCTCCGATAAACATTTCGGACCGCAGATCGACTTAAATTAAGTTGAGCACTCACGTTTCTTTGGCTGTGTCCGGCCTGAATAAGTGCCACAGCTTGGGCGGCGACTTCAGGTGAAGTATCCATAGATTATTGATGGAACCTCACCTTAATGTTAAGAATAAGTAATGTTTGTTGCAAAACCAAAGATATCAATCACTTTTTCAAGAATTAAATCAAAGTAAACCAATAAAACCAAGTTTTCTTAGTATTCGATTGTTTGATATCAACAAACAGGCTCCAAATAGTCTTTTGTTTCTTTAAATTCTGTGTTCGAAATTCAAAAAAAGACTAATGAAATTGTGAATGTGCCAGGTTCAAAACTGCATAAAAACTTTTTGCTCGACCTAATATAAAATTTTAGCTAGGACCAAACGAAACTGAAAATACAAGGTGGGCCAATAGATGTGTCCAGAAGTGTATTAGTGTTTCATCATATTTGTAATATTTTTACACCGTTCCATTTTGTAGAAATTCATCCCCTAAGGGATTAATGGAGAGTATATTTAACTTTGTTTAATCGGGGGATGAAAGTTATAGCCCACACTAGTGAAGTCGCGGGCCGGAAAGCTAATTTTAAATGGGTGTTATTTAAACGGTTAGCAAAGTATTCGTAGGAATCTATGTTAGTAAAAAAAACACTCAGCAAAAATAACTATTTGGGCAGCAGCTTATGGTCAGCATATACATATTTCTAAATTACTCTGCAATTTATATTATTCCTAACAGCATTATTTTTATAGAAAAGAATTAATAAAAGCTTCAATAAGTGACCCATATTTAATGACATTATGGTAAGCCCTCAGAGAGTAAGCGAAAAATTCAATTATGTGCCGCATATATAAGTCTAGCAAAAATATTATACTTAACTTGTCATGTACAAAATGGGCGCACTCGTTACAAATATTATTTATTTATTCTCTTTCTTACTGGGTTTATTTATATTAATTACAGAAACTTAAATCTAATCATTGTCTAAAAACTTAAAATCAGAATTAATTACTTAAAAAACATACAACCTACAAAATAAAAAATATATCACCCCCAGCGCCGACGTCAGGATTGGTGCCCAATAGGCTGGCAGCATTTCCACGTTGTAAAGCAAGGCTTAACCAAGGTAGCTGCCAGCCTTTTGATCACCAGTCAACTCGGTGAGTCTCTTAGATAATTCCTTAACCAGAGATTCCGGCAAAGAGTTCGACAGCCTAGCTGTTCTGACGATATAGGTGGAAGCAAACCGTTTAGTACGAGTTTGCAGGACCTCTACGGTATATCTGTGGCGTTTTGCCGTCTCTCTGATAGTTCTGTGGTAAAAAGATGAAGGTGGAATTAGGTTATGTAACTCCGAAGCACTCTCTCCGAAATGTAACCGGTAAAAAACCGATAAAGAGGCAACTTTTCGCCAGTATTCAAGACTTTGGAGTCTATGCTCGAATAATTTATCGTTGCCGATGAGCTTCTTTGCACGCCTCTCAATGCACTCCAGAGACTCCAGCTGATATTTTGCAGAACCATCCCAAAGGTGCGAACAGTACTCCATGCACGAGCGATCTCGCGCACTGCCTGATAGAACAAGTTTAAGCGGTTTACCATGGCTTCTCGGAGTGATTGAACTTCGGCCGCACTGGCACGCGCATTTGATATATAGCTCTCTACAACTGTACTATCGTCTGCATACCCAAAGGTATCTCAACACCAAACGACACAAATATGTAGTTCTCATTGAGAGCTGAATATTTGCGCCGCTTAGAGCACTCAGCAGAGGCCGCCGCCGCGCCCGCAGCAAGGGAGGTACTACCTATATGGCACAGAGGAAGACCCTGCTTCCAAGGAATGAGCGTCATTCCGTCAGGTCCCTTGCCATCGTCTCGAAAGATGCCGCTAGGCTCTAGGACAGCGGCCAAATTGACTGCGACAATAGCTCTACAGATGACGTCGTTAATGCAGGCGTGGCGGGAGACTCGACCAAATCGACAATTTGATTGATTTATTTAATAGAGATCCAAAAGAAGGTTAGGTTATTAAATAAAATATTGTTATAGTAGGAAGTTGCTATTTAAACAAGCAAAATTTTATAGTTATATTAAATAGTTATTGTATTATTAATGCTCGGTTTTTCCTTTGAGGGCCGGCTGTGGGCCACGATTCCGATTTTCGTTTTTCCGATTTTTCAATAAAAACGAAATCTAACTATTGATTTTCCTAACAAAAATTTTAATTTGCCCACCGATTAAATAAACTGCTTTTTTTTCTTCTAAAACTACTTGGTGTTTTACTGTCTTGTTTTGTTTCCATCCTTTAATGAGTCTAGAACCTAGATAATCGTATTGGTAGTAGTAGATATTTTAGAATTTTGAACCAGCTTACCCCAAAGTAAGTATTAAAAATTAAAAGTTTACGCGAACATAATGCTGACTCTACATTTGTGCCGCGAAGCTCCGTGAACAGGCGTGAACGTGTGTTTTCGCGGCTTCAAAGTTTGGAGTTCTCACCACTGCCGTGAGTTCACGCCGCGTATTCACGGCATTTCACGGCACTAGTGTGGTGCTTGGCAGCGTGGCGGTTTAGCATAAGCGCTTAGGAATATTTTATTTATTTATTTATTCTATTATTGGCAAAATTACTTATTTCAATCACTTATACGATGCTATTTCAGATACTCCCGACAAAAGCAAATGCCAGCGAGCGTTCGATGTTCACAAGTGCTCATATAGCAAAGATCCTGAAGTGAGTAATCTTAATATTTTAAAAATGGATTATTTGATAATTGTGCTTAGGTAACTTTTTTAGTATTAGACGTAACAGTTACAGCATCATAGGCCAAAGCACGAGATTTTTACAGCTCCGTAACGTATCGTCATCGTCAAATTCGTATGCAAAAAGCTAGTTTGTTCCTACGTCCGATAGGGGCGCTGCTTAGTTTTCATACAAAACTTTGACATTTACTTTACGAAGCTGTCAAAAATTCGTGCTTGGGCCTCAGAAATCAGAAAATATTCTAAAACAAAGACTTTCAGGCAGCTAAAATAATAGGCACGTTACTTCACTACGCACTTGAGTGCGTTTTCAAATACGGTGATCCATGACTATCTTAAGAATGTAAGGTTATCATGTTGGAACGATTTTTAGTCGCGATATTTCATAACTACCTCCGACTACTTTAGACTATTTTAATATTACCTACATGTAACCACTTCAGGTGTTCCCTTTTACACTGGAAAACGTCAAAAAAAACAGAACCAATCATGCTATTGGTGAATTGACGAGTGCTGACGACTGCAGATATAGCCGGAACTAATGGCCTAATATTTTTTTCCAAGAATGTAGGAACTGAAAATAATTTGTTTTACGAATTATAGAACTATATCGATCTTATTCGCAACAAATTATGTAAAACTGGGACAGACATATATATTAAAAAATAATTTATGACCGGGGAAAACTTATCCTTTAACAAAGTTACAAAAACCAATGAGTTGATGTAATTTTATTATTGTTATTTTCAGTTCTACTTTTTATTCTGATGGTGAAATTAGCTGATATTATTTATGCTGAAAGATGACTATTTTAAGCGGAATTATTTTGGGAGAAGAGCCTTAAAATAAACAAGCAATTAAAATATTGGTTTTATTTTTGAAGAACCTTCATTAATAATGTTAATCCATTGACGCAGATTTTCGCCAATAAATAATTTGTAAAAGGCAATGTATTTTTAGTTATATATTTTTTTGATACTACTTATTTGGTTAATTTTTATTGATATTAATTTATTTTCCGTTCACTTACTTATTTAATGAGAACGTAACATTTTAGGCTGTAGATAAGGTAAATAAAGATCTAATTTTACACGAGCCGCAGGCAGTACACAGCTATTTGAAATGTATATCAGTATAAAGTTAGAATAATAAATCGTATCTCAGTTTTTTTATAGAATAATAATAATTATTTCCAACACTCACACCAATTAGCCTAGCCCCAAAGTAAGCAGTATCTATAAGGCTTGTGTTATAGTATGCTAGGATAACGGATAGAATACATATACAGTACATATATAAGTATATTTATATAGAAATACATATTAAACATCCATATGACTGGAGTACAAATGCTCGTGTTCATCTCACAAACATCTGCCCCCACCGGGATTCGAACCCGGGACCTCTCGAGTCGGCGACACCATGAAAGCCGGCGTACAAACCACTCGGCCACGGAGGTCGTCAAAAGAATTACAATAACATCATTCCAACTCATCTGAGTTTATAGATTTGTAATTCTTTAATAGAATTTGAATTAAGAAAAAACTCAAACAATCGATGATCGAGAGTCATGTTTAACGCTTATGTCTTCATTTCTTAAAATGTAAATAAACTACGCAGTTTATCCACAATAAAAACCTTTGTAGACAACGAATAGGTACCGATATCATTAACATCTTCATCAACATCGTTGGTCACAAGTCACTAATTTGGACAATTCTATTGCTGAAATATTTTGCTCAAATTTGTTATTATACTATGCGTAATCATAATTATGTACTGTCTAAGGTTCCGAGTAAACATTGTCTATTCACAAGTAATTAGTGTACAAAAACAAAGGGTTTGGTTGCGTTTTCCTGTTTACGCGTGTTTGATGTGCCACAATAACATTTGCTGACGTAGAAAGTGACTGAACTTGAAAACTCCATCCATTTACAATAAAAGAGCACGTTATTTAACAGCAAAACGACATTCAAAAGACGGAAAAACCGGGGGTTGGAACATCTGCACATAAAGAGGCAATTTGGAGATTGCCGGGGGCGCGCGACCGCCAAGGAGAATTGTGCTCGAATGTATTCAAAATTAAAAAAAAATCCGTAGAAAATATTGCAAGGAAATTCATTGCGGTAAAATAAACAAGAGTGGCTTGTTGCCGCGGTCGGTCTGCCTTGGGACTGGATAAGTAGGGCAACGCTGAGAAGCTTGGTTATTATATCCTGCAGAGTTACCAAAGGTTTGGATTATCTTACAGTGACGTGATTTACTTACGATTTTTTATTTTTGTCGCTTCTGAGGTTGGCAAACTATTCGTTTCAAAATCTTGCTGTATCTGGGATACCTACTGAAATAGGTATAAAAAACCACTCTCTAAATAGCGGTCTAACTCAGAGACCTGAATCAAAGGACAATGGCGAAATATTTGTTGAAGTAAATCTTTAGCGTCTATAGATGTCATTATCAGAAATGTTACTAAAATAATCTCAAAAGATTTATGAAGTAATTGAGGAGGGTTGTCTAAGTCTGGAATTAAAAACTTAAAAAAGGGAAACACAATTGACTAATTTTCTTTTTTTTTTATTGTGGCTTAACATCATGACTTTTGAGCCAATTATTTTAAGTGATTTTAGTGATTAAATCAACTTCAAGTATGTTGTTCGTATGTTTTGCATCGCTTTACGCTTAAACTATATTTAATTATCTATCAAAAACATCACAAAACATTATTTTTCAATATTATACTGAAGCCATAATAAATAAAATACAATACAAAAGGAGTATGGCGACAATTCTAACACAAAAATCTATATCTGTCACTGTCATGCTTGTCATCGAATTGGTATTGTTATCATTATCGTTGCTTGTGCATGCGTATAGCAAAGATTTAAATCGGCGTATTGTGTTTCTTTACTGAGATTTGTTTTTTATGTGACTTGTACTGCTTTTGGACTTTTGAGATCTTCCGCTACGACTGTTGAGTAGTGCTTGCCTAAGAATTCTGAATCTGCTATTTTGGACGACTTCTTGCTGTGGATTTTGGACAAGATTCTGTCCCATACTGTGGAATTTATCTAATTTTAACTACTATCTATGATATTGTGATCAACGAAGATGTGAAATAAAAATATATAAAAAAAATGGTTGCCTGTAAAGTCGGTTTTACGGGCGAAGATTTTACGTGACAACGTCTTTTTCTCGGTAGAATATTTATTGATATGAATATAATTAAATTGCACAATAGGAACAAGGAATTGAATGAAAATAAGAATTGCACAAATTTTAACTATAGAAATATATTTTGTTTACTAAAACATTGTACATGTAAACTTAAACTTAACACGAGAGACTCATCGTAACGTTACCGAGCGTTACACTTTTTCATAAGTGACTCCCAGCCGCAACCTAATTTAAGACGTTGTCACGTCAAAAATGGTTGCCTGTAAAGTCGGTTTTACGGGCGAAGATTTTACGTGACAACGTCTTTTTCTCGGTAGAATATTTATTGATATGAATATAATTAAATTGCACAATAGGAACAAGGAATTGAATGAAAATAAGAATTGCACAAATTTTAACTATAGAAATATATTTTGTTTACTAAAACATTGTACATGTAAACTTAAACTCATCGTAACGTTACCGAGCGTTACACTTTTTCATAAGTGACTCCCAGCCGCAACCTAATTTAAGACGTTGTCACGTCAAAAGTGTTTCATATTTAATTAATGTCCCATTAGTAGGTACATTATTTTTTATGCTTTAATATTGCTATGGGCATTCCCAAATTGTAAAGTACTTCTTACAGCACAAACATTGTATTCGAACTCTGTAACTCATGTTTGTTAAGTATTATAAAGTATTTTGACGCGGTCGGTTAGTACCTACACCCGCTGATTATAAAAATATTTTTTTTTCGTCACTAATCTACGGAACCGGTATACTTCTATAGTATATTTTATTTTCATTTAAATATACTCTTGAAAATACTTTTATTATTCGTTTTTGTATTACTTGGTATGACGTAACCTCCAAAACTTCAAAGTAGAATATCTATAAAACCAGACTTCCTATAATAAAATAAATAAGACGAATTGAATCTAGAATCCAAACTCTATAATTTAAAATATAATTTATTCACAGATGGAAAAAAAAATGTCAACAAAAATTTGTATGGGAGTTCGCCATTGTCCTTTAATGTCTGTAACCTGTAAACCTGTAAGTTAATTGGTGTTTTGCGTGCGACTGTTAGTCAGAATACAATGACGTCGCATTTGACATTGGTTATGGAGATAGCGGATTTTCCGTTCGGATTGGAGCGCCCTTTCCTATGAGAGCGCCCATAAAAGAATGTACATAGTGCCATAGCGGGCGTATTTACGACGGAACTAATTAAAATTTCGAACGCTAATTTTAGCCCATTTTAATACCAAAGCATCGTCGCGGAGACGTGGAAGAAGTATTTGACTACAGTGTTGGCTTACTAAAATGCTATTTCAGTCTTTTATTTATGCTGTGTTCAAAGTCATAGACACTGTACAGAACATACTAAATTCCCCTTTAGAAAGCATAGTGTAGTTATCGAACAGTTCGTGTGACTCGGAAATATAGGGCGGATGTCGCAATTTGGCGTCGCGTCGCGGTAATCTCGCTGGACTGTGCGGTCGTGCGATACGTGCGGTGGCTACTGGCTTAATGTCGCATAATGGTTATCCAGAAGGGCTTCTTTACAAGGAAGGAATTAAAGAGGTGAGAGACTCGAATTAGAGCTCTAATTTATAGAAGACCTGTACAGGTTATTTATTTATTAAGTTTCCATACCTCAAAAGGAAAAACGGAACCCCAATAGGATCACTTTGTTGTCCGTCCGTCCGTCCGTCTGTCAAGACCGTTTTACAGGAACGCGTGGAGATAACAAACTGAAATTCATATCAAATACTCAGGTCTAGTGTCCCTTGGAACTGTGAAAAAAACAATCAGCCTTCTAAGACAAAGCAATCAAAAGATGACAACCGTTTATGCAGCAAATTTTCGAAACTCGCACGGGAATCAAAACCTA